AGCCTGTGCCTTTTTATAGGTGAGTTGAGTCCATTTACATTTAGGAATATTAATGACCAGTGATTGCTCTCTCCTGTTAATTTAGTTTTCATTGTTGGTGATGTTAACTTGTACATTTTTCTCTTCTTTGGGATTTGGTGCTATGAGACCATCAATTGTCTATGTTTTTGTTGATGTAGTCAACTTCCTTGGGTTGGGGTTTTCCTTTTAATATTTTGTGTTGGGCTGGGTTTGTGGCTAGGTATTGGTGAAATCTGTATTTGTCATGGAATATCTTCTTTTGTTTTTCTATGGTGACAGTTTTGCTGGGTATAGTAGTCTGGGCTGGCATCCCTGGTCTCTTAATTTCTACATAATGCTTGACTAAAACCTTTTGGTTTTCATTGTGTCCAATGAGAAGTCAATTGTAATTCTGATAGGTCTACCTTTATATGTTACTTGGCCTTTTTCCTTTGTAGCTCTGAATATTCTTTCTTTACTCTGTATGTTTAGTGTTTTGATTATTATGTGGCAAGAGAATTTTTTATTTGGATTCAGCCTATTTGATGCTCTATAAGCATCTTGTATATTCATAGGCATATCTTTCCTTAGGCTGAGAAAGTTTTCTTCTATGATTTTGTTAAATATATTTTCTGTGCTTTTGAGTGGAAATTCTGCTTCTTCTTCTATACCTATTATTCTCAGATTTGGCCTTTTCATGGTGTCCCATATTTCCTGGATATTCTGGGTTAAGCTCTTATTAGATTTAAGATTTTCTTTAACTGATGAGACTATTTCCTTTATAATATCTTCAGTGCTTGAGATTCTCTCTTCCATCTCTTGTATTCTGCTGTTCATGCTTGCATTTGTGGTTCCTGATCATTTTCTCATGATTTCTGTTTCTAAAATTCCTTCCGTTTGTGTTTTCTTTATTGTGTCTATTTCAGTTTTCAAGTTCTGAGTAGTTTTTTTTTTTTGATAATTTTCTTCTGCTTCATCCATATTTGGTTGTTCAGGTCTTGCTGTTATAGGGTCTTTAGGTTTTACTGATGTTGTGTTGCTCTTTGTGGTGTAGCATGTGATCTTACCTTTTCTACCCATCTTTTCCTCTAATAGGTATGATTGGGGTTTTCTGATATTCTGTTGAATAATTTTCTAGGTGCCAGTGAATCCAAAGCTCAAATGGTTGTTCCTCGTGGTACAGTCAGTGTCACAGTTCTAGTCACCCCGTGTTCTTAGAGACAGCTCAGTGCTCCTGTGCTTTGCTCTGCTCCCTGGAGTTTGCTGTCTCAGGACTACTTTGGCCTAGGTTGCCAGCTTTGCCTTGTTTCTGTAGATCCTGGTCTGGAAACCCTCCTGCAGAAGTCCCTGGGTTGGAGTTGGACTTGGAAAATTTTCTGGCTTTGGTAGACACTATCCCTGAAACTAATCCTATGAGATGTGTGATGGTTTAGGTGAAAATGACCCCCATAGCTTCATAGATTTGAATATTTAGTCATTAGGGAGTGCACTATTTGAGAAAGATTAGGAGGTATGGCCTTGTTGGAGGAAGTGTGATATTGGGAGTGGGCTTTGAGGTTCCAAAAGCCCATCCTAGGCCTTGTATCTCATGCCTGCCATCATGTTCACTGCCTCTGAAACTGTAAGCAAGCCCTCAGTTAAATGCTTTCTTTTGTAAAGGTTGCCATGGTCATGGTGTCCCTTCATAACAACAGAACAGTGAATAAGATGGCATTTAAGGGAGGTATCATGTTAACTTTTATCATCAATAAGTCAGTGAGGAGATGTTTGGAAGTAAAAAAATGTGTTACTACCACATGGAATTTATATTATTTTACCAATCGTCTCAACTTAAATATCTGATAAAATATAATTCAAAACTAATGATGTGTTTCAACATTGCTGCTGGTAAAATATTTCTGGGAAAAGTCAGATAGTGTGATATTAGACTTTACAAATCACCAGATCCTTGCTGCTAGCTCTTTAATTATAGCACAGAGTAATTGTGGGCAGTATGCAGAGAAGGGGCCTGTCTGTACTTCAAGAAAATATGAGAAGGAATGTAAACACGAGGTGGGCAAGCTTGTACTTGTTCCCTGTTCTTTGTTCTAGTTGCAAGAAGCACTGGAGATGCTGAAAGTTGCTGAGGTGATGTGCTGTAAGATTTAGAGGTATAACTGCATGGAGCTTTCAAAGACAGCCGGAGTGTTCATAACACAGACAGGCAGAGAAGTGTGAGCATCACAGCCATGTTGGCAGAGGTGCTTGTGTGGAAGGTCAGGGTAAATTTTCTGCCTCCAGTCATTTGATTTGAGTTACATAATTGCTTGGGGCAGGGAGTTAACTCAGTGGCAGGATGCATGTTTGCATGCATAGGATCCTAGTTTCATCCACAATTGCCACAAAAAATAAAGGAGAAGGCAGTTATTTACAGATCTCTTTAACTTCACAGCACAGTTAGGAAAATGACTCATCTACCAAATATTTTGTTTGTCAAAGAATTTGCAAAATTACTTTAAAAATGACTATTTAGAAATTATGTGGCATTTAAACTTCTTGTGTAAGAATAATTCCTTTAAAATATTTAGAATTGAATTTGAGAATTCCAACTTAATTGTCACAACTGAAAAGCAAGGAGAAGAAATGGAAGTGCTCTGGAAAAAACCGTTAAATGTGTAATAGAATGATTAAAAATGCTGCGCATCCCCAGCAGCTGCAGCGGCAGAAACACTGCAGGTCTCCAAGTAGCGGCAGGCAGCAAACAACGGGTCCTGAGAGCAGCCAGTTCCAGGCAGGGACGGTTCAGCTCCCTGAGTGGCTGCAGCAGGCAACTGGGGTCCCATGAGGAGAGACAAATAGATGGGCATGCCACAAGACCATGCCACAGGTCTCCAAAGGTGGCTGGTCCAGGGCATGGAGACATGAAGCACCGGGCGAGAAACAGAGACATAGATAGGCATGCCATGCAGAGTGAGGCTGGATATTTATTTAGTGGGTTATGGAGGGGAAGGTAGAAGGGGAGAAGAGCAGAGAGGCACAGATAAATAGATAGATAGATAGATAGATAGATAGATAGATAGATAGATAGATAGATAGATAGATATAGAGGAGAGACAGGGAGAGACAAAAGCTGCCTCTTCAAGAAGGAGACAGAAAAGAAAGAGACTCAGACTACAAGCAGGAAGGAAGATCTGCCTACCTCAGTGGATGGGGAGGGAGTGGGCATGACTTGTCTCTTAAAGGGACAGAAGAGATTATTACAAAGTGCAAGAATCAATGTGGGTAAGTCAGTTTCATTGGTTCCTCATTAATGTTATTAATGTGGAAGAGGTGCTGTCCTTCCTTGAGTAGTATTCCTAGGAGTATGCTATTTGATATGAAAAGGCATATTGATAAAACATTTTTTAATTATGTTGCAACTATTATTAGTAGAGGTATAATTCCTCTCTGTGTTTATAGAAATTGAGTGAATTAATAAAAGAAATGATTTTGGTGTAATTTTTAATAAGAGATAGTGATGGTCCTGTTTTATGCATCCAACCTTTGATGGGCACAGCCATTGATTTCCACATTTAGGTTGTTGTCAACAGTGCCGTTTTGACATTGCTATGATTATATCTGCGACTCTGATGAAAGTGTTAAATAACTCTAATGGTTAGTGTTATGCCCAGATCACAGAGTTCCCTCAAAACCAACTAAGAGACCAAGTCCTGGATGTAAAAGCAAAGAGCCTTTATTCTTATACAAGTTTGCAAACTTGGTTTCTCTGTGTGTCCAATGTATTGGAGTGACTGGAGGACTCCCAGCTCGGGTGGGGTTGGGTTTCTGTAGTAGCAAAGTTGGGGGTAAAGGATTTCTAAGTTCTGGACCCCTGATTGGCTGACATTTGTTTAGAGGTGTCCTGGTGAAAAGCAATGGGTGTGTGTTTGGCAGGTGATCTATCTACAACAATTAGAACATTAGGAATTTCCTATGGATGATCTGTTCCTGGGTGGTGTCTGGGTAGTCTCAGTTTGTGGTCTTTCTTGGAACCAGGGTAAACTACTGAGACTTAGGCCTAACTTGAGCTTGTCATGGCTGGGTACTACAGTTAGTAGTGGCTAGACAAAGAATTCTGCATTTCTCTTATTGCCAGGCTCCTACAGTTAGTGTCTGCACTTGTGTTGCTTTCTGTCACCAATAAAACACAGACTGTACCGGCTGGTTCTGTGTGTCAACTTGACACAAGTTAGAACCATCAGAGGAAGGACTCCAGTTGAGGAAATGCCCCTAAGAGATCAAGCAGAAAGGCATTTATTTCCTCAATTAATGATCAGTGGGGAAGGGCCAGGCCCATTGTGGGTGATGCCATCCCTGGGCTAGTGGTCCTGGGTTCTGTAAGTAAGCAAGCTGAGTAAGCCATGTGAAGCAATCCAGGAAGCAGCATCTTTCTATAGCCTAGCATCAGTTCCGGCCTGCAGGTTCCAGGCCTGCTTGAGTTCTTGTTCTGACTTTCTCCCATGTGGAAGGATAAGCCAAATTAATCCTTTGCTCCCCAACTTACTTTATCACAGCAAGAGAAACCCTAACTAAGTAATGGACCAAAGCCAACCTGGGGAGAAGAGAGTTTATTTCACCATAGAAACCCTCAGTCACAGTCCGTCACTGAGGGAAATCAGGACCAGAACCTAAGGTAGGAGCCTAAAAGAAGGTACTAAAACAGACCATGGGGGAATTCTGCTTACTGATTTGCTCTCCATGACTTTTCAGCTACATTTCTTAAGCAGCTCAGGCCCACATACACCCTCAGTTGAATGAATCCATCCATGTCAATCAGCAATTAAGAAAATGCCCCACAAACATGCCCCATGCCAATTTGAGAGTGAAATTCCTCATTTGTGGTTTCCTCATTTCAGATATGTCAAGCTATCTCTGACAGCTTTGGGGAATAAATTATTAACAATTTCTACTCCTCATCAAGAACAAATATTAAGTCTTATAGAAGCATTTTTCTTTTTTTTTTTCCAAAGAATTGTCCTCTCTCCTTTTTGGGATTTTAAAAAGCAAAGTTATGTCAGTAAAATAAAAAGAAATAGGCATTCTTTCTCAGTTGCCTTGGGCCTCACATAGAAACCTAGGACTCCTAGCACTGACTTTCATCAGTATCAGAGCTGAAAGGTAGATGTATTTATTGTTAATTTAAAGACAAATTTGAAGCAAGCTTTAATTAAATACTGGCCAGATCCATCTCTGATCTCCCAGAAAAAGTGGCCCCAAGTCACGGTTTGCAGTGGCTTAAGTACTTCCCATAAAGTCCAATCAGGGGCAAGCATACACCCTGATGTACCTCCAGTCTACATCCAATCAGGGGCAAGCATACATCCTGATGTACCTCTAGTCTACATCCAATCAGGGGCAAGCATACATCCTGATGTACCTCCAGTCTACATCCAATCAGAGGCAAGCATACATCCTGATGTACCTCCAGTCTACATCCAATCAGGGGCAAATATATCATGAACCACCCACTCACATGTGATTGAACACATACAGTGCAGATGGGTAAAACAAACTTGTTTAGGGGAGTGGGAGCAAGTGGCTTGTTATCTCCCATAAACAAGGACCTCCAGCATTTCAGGAACTGTCTGCCCTTTGGTAAGGGGCTTGTAGATTAGAGGCATTTTTTGTTTCATGGATCTTTTAGATGTAGTAATTAAAACTTAAAATGTAACTTTCACAGTATCACTAGGATTAAAATATTGCTATTAAAAGGAAGCTGTGTGAGACTGTGGTGGGTGGGAGACAGATAGATATGCCATGCGGAGAGAGAACTTGGGTATAGTGTTTATTTAGTGGGTATTGGGAAGGGTATAAGGGTAAGAGGGCTATAGAAGAAAGAGAGAAAGCAGGGGAGGTAGCTACTTCAGGAGGACAGTCAGAGAGAGAAAGAGGTGGAGAGGAGGCAGAAGATCTCCTTGCCTCAGCAGAGAAGGGGGAGATTGTCTCTTAAAGGACAGGGTGCCCAGGTGACAGGGCAGGCCAGTAGAGCTATAATTACAACACCCTCGCCTTTCTCTTATAATAAAAAGGTGAGGAGTTAGGCATGGCAGGTTAAGGGGATGAGGGTGTTGAGTTCTCAAAACTACTTCCTGCTTATTTCTGGTCAACGGAGTCTTAGGGGACCCGAGAAAACTGAGATGCCAGTCAAAGGGGAGCTGGTTGCTTCACTCCTGTCCAGGATTTGTAGTGTGGAACACTCCAGTGTCTCTTGGACCTGGCAAGGTGTTGGCAGAGCAGAGGACAAGGTTAAGTTTAGGAAGGAAAAATTTTTCTTTAGGTCCTGGTAATTGAGGAAGAGGATGTCAGGACCAGGGAATTGAGAGGCAGGTGTATCTGACTTGTTTAAGGTGAATCCTTCAATTCAGCTCCCTGGAACTCACAAGAAGTCTTTGAATTTGTGAAAATATAAGTTTTAGACACATACATTGTATAAACAGCAGCATATTTATGCCAGAATAACTATGACAGATGTTTTTGTACAATGAAAAGTATCTTTAGAAAATGACCAAGGAAAATTTAAAATTTTTATATTGCAATAGTGGTAGTACTCTGCCAGTTAGATTAATAGCTCATCGGCATTTTATTGATAATGTTAAGACTATGAACAGAAACAAAATGAGAGAGAAAAATTTGATAACTTGTCCTCAGACCTTTATAACTTGTAGGTGCACACCTTAATAACTTGCCCTAAAACACCTTTTATTAGACATGGTAAGAGGTTATGCTGAAATCTGTGAGGTTGCCCTTTATAAACTAAAAAACCTCTCAGCTGTCAAACTACATCAGAGATCTTTGAGAAGGACAATATTTTGTTTGAGTTATTGATTTAAAAACAGAGAACTTACTCAATTGGCTGCCTAGAGCCACCCTTCATGGTGCTCCATGGTTGTTGAGAACAGGGGCTTTCAGGATGTATTTGTTTTCTGTTGTTAGTGCAGGGCTCACCAGGTTTCGGGAGATCCTGTGGATTAAGAATCTTTAAGAACACAAGCCTACCTTGCCCTGAGCAACTGGGCCGTTCATTTCAGTCGATTCTGTCTAGAGATCTTAAAGAGTTTAGAAGAAAGGCAGTTCTTACTTGTGTTTTGTGCTTTCATTTGACAAGACAAAGAGAACTGTGGATGGATGCTGTTCTGTGCTCATCTGTCTTCTTTGGAGGAAATGGGGTGCTGCTGTTAGGAGCCAACCTTTTTCTCTGCTACAAAAAAAATCCTTTTAATAATTAAACATTTAAATGTCATATTCCCCAGGTCTCTGAGCTCTTGAGGGCTGTTTATCAGGTATATATATATATATATATATATACATATATATATATATGTATATATATATATGACTATTTTATCAGGAGGGAGAATTTTTAGTGATTTTTCATGAAGTCCTGAATTCACATCCTGAAAACCACCCACATTTATTCTCCAAACATCTTTAACACCAAAACTGAGGGGAAAATTCATTAGCATTATGGTAGTGGGGAGAATGACTGTGGTCACATCCACACCTTTTCTATGACCATTTTGTCATTTTTTAAAATCTATCTTCCTGCTCTGTCACATAGACTGAATTTACACCTCTTTCCCTGACAACCTCCCAAATTACAAAGAAGGAGGAGAATGACATTAGCATATCCTGCCCCTTGCTTTGGATGGTGTCAGTGTGTCTCACTATCAAAGGGCTAGGCAACCACCTTTGGTGTGGCAGATGCAAATTGTACCTTGCCAGGTCACTCAGAATTTTGACTGCCATACAATGTAAAAATATGGGCCTCTATAATAAGGCCCCTATAAAGGAGTATGTAGGCCATTTCCCAGAGTTGATGGAGAGATGAGAGATGAGATCCAAAGGCAAAATATTCAAGGCATCCCTAAAACAATGCAAAGATTGGACAGATTGGTCAAACCATACTAAGGTTTGTCAGAACAGACTATGAGGACCAAGAGCACTCCAAGTGGCCTGAGGGACTACAGTCTGAGACAAAAACTGAGACAAGATCCCAGTTCCCAGCCATGGGGAATTGCCAGAGATGAATGTCAGTGAAAGTTGGCATGGAGAAGGGTACCTTATATTTAGTTGTGGTAGTATGCAGCGATGAACCGGGCACAGGAAGTTGGAAAGTGGTCCTAGTCCAGGATTCCCATATGCCTGTTGGAGGGTGGGAACACAAAGAAAGCCTGGCTGAGTCATACACCAATGTTATGATCCCTGGCGGGTTCCCTGGTGGGAGACCACAACAGATGGTAGACAGTTAATGTAATGATATGTTCTGTCTCTTTAAGAGACAAGCAACGCCCACTCCCCCCTCCCTCTTGAAGAGGTAGCTTCCATCTCTCCCTTCTCTCTCTCTCTCTCTCTCTCTCTCTCTCTCTCTCCTTCTGACTCTCTGCTCTTTCCCCCCTCCATAACCCACTAAATAAATATTCAGTCTTGCTCTACATGGCATGCCTATCCATCTGTCTCTTGCCCGCCACGTGGTTCCCTACCGGGGACCAGCTGCCTTCGGAGACTTGCAGCGTGGTCTTGTGGCATGCCCATCTGTCTGTCTGTCCTCATGGCCTGCTCCCACTGCTCAGGGACCTGCAGTGTTTCTGCTATTGCAGCTTCCAGAGATCCTCCAGCAGTTTTACTTTTACCTTGGTGCCATGAGACTCGGGAGGCTCTCCTGCCCCAAGCCCCAGGGTCAGGATTCGGAACCAGGTATTTTTTCCACAACAACCATGTGTTCCATACGCCTGAGCACAATTTCTCCACACAACACCAACTTCGATTGGTGAGCTTCCCCCATTCTGCTATGGTTGAGCCCTTCACTAACATTTTTCTCTGGATTGCTTCCCTTAGCTAAAATCATGACTGGAGTGACCCGGGGTCAGTCCTCCCTCACTAACACTGCACACTCTGTGCAGTGCATTCGATTGAAGCCCCAGGGTCCCTGTTTTTCTTTCTCTTTTTTTCCTTGTCTTTTCTTTCTTCCCCTGCTGTGTTGCTTGTTTTTTTTGTTTTGGTAAAGGCCACTTGGAGGGCTTGTGGTGTCACCATTTTGTGGGTTTTCACAGTTTCAGCTATGGGTGGCAAGCCATCCATGTCCATTTCCCCAGGATGGATGCCTTTTAGAAGCCCTAAAACCACAGGCCTTAATGTTTCATTTCTTCAGCTCCTACCCTCACTCCGTTGGTGTTCCAATGGCTCCACTTTCATGGGAGCTTTCTAACTAACTACTGTCAGAGCACAGCCAAATGGAAGGAGTTTCCTCAAACTATCCCTGCCACTACTTCTGCCAACAAGGTTGGTCAGATCCATGAGGCAGCTGTTTTCAGTTCCAGCCTTTTGCTTCCCGCTGTGGCTTGTGGCATAGGCAGCTCAGAGACAGGGTAGATCATGCCTCTAGGTCTCTCTTATTAACCTTAAATTCCATACAGCTCAAAATTGTGGCTTTTCCATACAACATGTGACTGCTGACATTTTGACTGAGGTCAGGTGACCTTACCATTATCTTAACTGAGGGCAAGTGACTTCACCGCCATCTTAACTAAGTGGCTTTTCCATGCAACATGTGACTGTTAGAAATATTTCCTAACACAGGCTCCCTGACGATGCAAAAATTCCCAATCAAGCCAAATCAAAACAAGCCAAATTAAGAAATATCCAGGTTTAATGGGAGATCTGTGCTCTCGGGTGGCCTCGAGGGGGAAACCTGGAAGCTGCAGAAATGCGACCCCCCAGGAGGAAGAAAGGGAGACCATGTGTTCTTCTTTTGGGGGAATCACTTAAGTACCCTGGGGAGTGGTCCTGACCCCACCCCCAGGGAGGGGTCAGGACCTGGTCTGCTGGGATTTGAAGTCCAGACCAGGACTGGGGGCTGGGATAGATGTGAGGGACTGAGACTGTGTTCCCAACCTAATAGTGACCACTACCATTTTGACTGAGGTTAGGTGATCTTACCGCCATCTTAACTGAGGTCAGGTGACTTTACCACCATCTTAACTAATAGCAAGGTCAGGTGACAAAGTCCTGCCATGTTTACTGAAGAATGCTCTGCCTGGTACCCCAGTTTACTTATGTTTTTGTCTCTGAATTCCTCTTGCTGACTCTGTTGCATGTGTGTTTTATGCAGTGGCATGCCTTTCGTAGGGCCCACCAAGAGCATCTACTTTACCCAATTCCTGTTCACTGTGTGCATGTGTTTATACATGTAAATTAAATGCACCTACGTTCACTGTTAAATGCTATAATTGTCTGTTCATTGCATCTCATTTCAGACTACAAAAACAATGTCTCATATTTTAACTGGTATGTACTTTTAAATATCTTACAAAAATACTGTATATTTAATCCAATCCTCATTTAAAATATATTAAGATATTCTATACTGTTGTTAGTTCTGCTGTTAACCTTCTATTTCAAGCAGTTTTTTTCTTTTTTCTGTCTTTTTACGAGTGTCAGTCTTACTTGTTAAGAGCCAGCACAGTCAAGCTCAGACCCAGCTCTCCCAGATCCTATACCTTATAAACAGCCCTCAACTGCTCGGAGATCTAGGGAATATGGTATTTAAATATTTAATTATTAAAAAACTTTTAATAATAAAAAGAGACAGGTTTGCTCCTAGCAGCACTCTATTTTCTCCAAAGAAGACAGAATATAGATGGACATAGAACAACGTTTATCTGCAATTCACTTCATCAACTGCCAAGTGCTGACCACTGGGAAAAATGCCTTTCATCTAAATGGAAGATCTCCAGATGTGAATAGAATTGCTGGAATCGACAACCTTGCTGCTCAGGTCAAGGTAGGCTTGTCTTCCTACAGATTTCTTAGCCCACAGGATCTTCTGGAGCCTGGCAGGCCCTGCGCTAAACAGCAGAGGCAAATACAACCGTTAGTGACCATGGAGGACCCTGAGGAGTAGCTCTAGGTGCCAACCAAGTAAATTCTCTGTTGTTTTTAATCAGTAACTCAAGTAAAATTTTATCCTTCTCAAAGATTTCTGATGCAGTTTGACAGCTGAGAGGTTTTGTAAGTTTAAAAGGACAACTTCAGTAAGTAAATTACAGATACAAGTTATTAAGGTGTGTACCTGCAAGTTATAAAGGAGTGAGGACAAGTGCACACTATCAAATTTTTCTCTCACACTGCCTTCCATAGCCTTAAAAATATTTTTCATTGTGCAAAAATATCTGTCACAGTCATTCTAACATAAATATGCTACTGTTTATACAATGTATACGTCTAAAACTTCTGTTTTCACAAACCCAAAGAATTCTTGTGAGTTCCAGGGAGCTGAATTGAAGGATCCACCTTTAACAGGTCAGATACACCATTCTCAATTCTCTAGTCCTAATTTTTTTTCCTAAACTTAACTTTGTCCTCTGTTCTGCCAATACCTTAAACAGGTGTAAGAGGCACCAGACATTTCCATACCACAAACACCAGACAGGAACAAAGAGACCAGCTACACCTGGATGTGTCCAGCACCCAGCTTTCTCAGGTTCCTGTTGGTACCTTCTCAGGTTCCTGTTGGTACCCGGGTTTTTTCCCCTTTCTTTGAGGTGCTATGCAGGGCTGTTTTTCTCCTAGCTTCCTGCCTTCTCTGCTCCTGCAGGTTTGGGGGATTAGCTTAGAGAGAGCTTGGTCCTCTTTTGATATGGTAATTCCACCTGCAAGCAAGGTTCTCACCTCAGCGCCTGAAACATCTGACACCGCAGCTGCTGACACTCCCTCCCCTCAGTTCTCTAGCCGGCGGCGCCGGGCGCCTGGCGCCCTCATTCTCTGTCCTGAATGGAAGGGGGCTCTCGTCCTTCTGCCCCCAAGTATATATACCCGACTTGTGCTTAATAAAGTTGTCATTTACCCTTTGGATGAATGAGTCTGGTCTCTCTGTGTGTGTCTGTTCAACTCCTAGGATATTGATCCAGTCTCGTGATTCGGTTCGGGAAGCGCGCACCCTTATCAGAGAGTGGGTTTTGCAGATTGGGCGGGACAGGGTCTCCCCCGAAAATTCAAGGCCCACAAAAAAAGCAGGAAGCAATCTTGAGAATCCACTGCCCCAATTCCCTTAACCTATGGTGCCTAACCTCCTAATGATCTGTTTTGTCTCTTTAAAAGACAAGCCCAGCCCACTCCCTCCCCTGTCTGCTGAAGCAGGCACCTCTTCTTTCCTGCTTGCAGCCTGAGTCTCTTCCTTTTCCATCTTCCTCTCGAAGAGGCAGCTTCTGCCTCTCCCCACTTCCCTCCTTCCCCCGCTCTTCTCCCCTTCACCTCCTTCCCTTCCATAACTCACTAAAGAAACCTCACTCTCTCACCTGCCCCGTGGCTCCCTGCCCAGGACCAGCAAGCTACCTTCAGAGACCTGCAGCATGGTCTCGTGGCATGTCCACCTGTCTGTTTCTCCTTGTGGCTTGCTGTAGCCACTAGTGGAACTGCGCCATCCCTGCCTGGGACTGGCCGCTCCCGGGACCCTCTGTTCTCTGCCTCCTGCCACATGGCCATCTGCCGCTGCTTGGGGACCTGCAGTGTTTCTGTCGCTGCAGCCACTGGGGATCCTGCAGCATTTTTACTTAATCCAATACCTTACCACGTGGCCCACTGCCGCCGTTCGGGGACCTGTGCCAGTCCCTGCCTAGGACTGGCTGCTCTCAGGACTCGCTGCCCACTGCTGCTGCTCGGGGACCTGCAGCATTTCTGCTGCTGCAGTTGCCGGGGATCCAGAGATCCTGCAGCAATTTTACTTTTACCATTACAGTTAGGCCATGCAGAGAGAGCGCTTGGATACAGAGTTTATTTAGTGGGTATTGGAAAGGGTATAAGGGTAAGGGGGTTATGGAGGAAAAAGAGAAAGAGAGAGATGGAGAGGAGGATGAAATGGATTTGCTGCGAGTCCCCAGCAGCTTGCTGCAGGGCTGAGACCACGCGGCAGGTCCCCAAATGATGGTGGCTGGTCCCCAGTCATGGGCAGCTGACTGGTCCCTGGTAAACAGTGTGGGCAGGAGGCAGGTGGGGGGCACAGAGATAGGGACACCAATGTAATGGATTTGTTGCGAGTCTCCGGGACTGCTGGGGACCCGAAAGCAGCCAGTCTCAGAGACCAAGCGGCAGGGAAGGCGGCGACAAACGGATAGGCGGGACACACACACACACACATACAGAGAGAGAGAGAAAGAGAGAGAGAGAGAGAGAGAGAGAGAGAGAGAGAGAGAGAGAGAGA